GAACTAGAAACGATTTGAAAATTAAATTTGTCTCTAACACTCAACGGTTGATTGTACCGGGCGATATCCTTAAAAATTATCCTTAAAAATCCAAAATTACATATATTACGGCATGCAAGGGAACTGACGTTTTACCCCGAAAGGGAAAAACCTGTGAAAAATGAAACGTTTCGCCAGTCATCAACATGACATCCAATGCTGTTCCGAAATATATAATTGGCTGGCTGAGAAAGATATCATGAATGTATAAAAATGTTGGTTGTCAACTTATCATTTTTGCAGCGGAAAGAAATAATGTTTATTTTCTTTACGGTCATTGTATTTACAGTCTATGAAGGGAAATAAAATTGGTCCCCTCAAACTACACCTTATCAATTTTTGTCTGAAATTCGGACAATCACCTACTCAGTGGAAAATAATCGACTCCGAAAGAAAAAGCCAGATTGGTATAAATTTTCTCGATAATTTTTGGCTTTAAGACAATTTAGCCCGTTTACTTTCAGTTTGATGGCGTGAAAAAAAATCAAAAAAAAATAATTTTGATAAATTTCCCAACTTTTCACCATGAATTTTTCTCTTCTTTTTTCTAGGAAAAAGTTGACCTCCTTCGGAAGATCTCATACAAGTCCCCTTCATCAAAATGAAAAAGGAACATTCCTAACTTTTCAAGGTAGTATACATTAATGATGCCGACTGTTTTAGGAATCCACACAACAACACTAGTATCATTATGAAAACTACAAAAGAAAATTATAAGAATAACAACATTAACAGCAAATAGAAATCTTACTGTTCCCCCCCCCTCCCTTTGAAAGGAAACTATGACTTCTTCCATTGAATAAGATAATTTACAATACTTTTCCACAAACGTCGACGAATAATGCACCTTTAAATTTACAAGGGGTTACACAATCAAAATGCTAGATCATCAAATAAAGTTCATGTCGATTATGTACGGACAATTATAACCACTCCATAGAATACAGGACCTTTATTCAGAGATAGCTAATATGGAACATTCTCCCAACACATGCAAAACCTGTGAGTCATAATATACTTTTAGTAAGCAGATTAAAGGAAACCTACTATCTGATTTCATTTCTACAAACAGAAACTTGTTGTAAGGAGATGCGATTATTATTAAGATATGGGCTAGGCAGTTAAAATTAACAGCAGTATGATGCAACACGAGCTCCCTTGAGAGCCCAGTATATCGGATTTGTTAAGAGCATTACTCCTTCTTAGATAATTGTATTGTATTACTGTGAACTAGATATGAATCAGCAGATCAAATAAAACTTCTTGTGTTCTGTTAGCCACTTAAATTTTCCAGTTGGTCTCTGATTTGCACGATTCGCGTGACAGAACAACGAACACTCCAGTAGAACAGACGGCAAAGTTGTGTTCCTCTTTGATGGACAGTGTGACAAAAATCCATCAACGAAAATAGACGCTGGAGTCCAAACTCCGCAGAAAATATGAATTAAACTTGTTAAATGAACCACAATATTTGGCTAAAATAAAACTCTGAAACTTCTTAAATTCAAAACAAAGGGTTAGAGAAATTGCGCGAACGAAAGCCCAAAAACAATTAACTAAACTCCGTTGAGACAAGCGACAAAACTACGCGAAAAATGTCCACGTCAGTTTTCCAATGTCAAGGTTAGAATTCTTTGACATGATTTACTATTTGTGATATTATGTGCGCCGCGCGTGAATACAAAAAGACTACAAGGCGGGGAGGTGAACATAAAAATTGCAATTTGAAATTTAAAACCAAAAAGATTTTCTACAAACAATCCAAGTATAAGTTTTCACTAATTTCTCCTTTTTTTTCAAACTTAGAGGAAACAGGGTCAAGATGAACAGCATAAAAGAAGCTATATCAGCTATCTCCATAGGTATAATGGTCGCCGAGTTCCTTCGCAAAACTAGTCGCGTGTTGCAAGCCATCGAGGTGTACAAGGAATGTTTGATTATATTACCCAGTCAAGCGCAGGCTATCGATAGTTCATTGGCAAACTTTACATTCCGAGAAATCTACGAAGAATTAATCTGTGCTTACGTTTCTATAAAGGATTACACAAGTTCAGAAAAATACCTCAGGGAACTCCTCCTATACCTAGACACTAATGACACCGCTGAAAAAGGATGGCTACATTTAAGGCTGGCAGAAATACTTCAGATACAAAGTAAATTAATGGAGGCCTGGAAATTTTACGAATCAGCAATCAACATCATGAAAACGATGGGAAACACGCATGGCTTGGCAAAATGTTACGCAAAACTCGGAATAATGTTCCAATCGCATTGTCAATATGACAAAGCCATAGAATATCAAGAGAAAGCACTCGCTATCAGAATAGAAATTGGTGACAGGAATGGAGAAGCAACCAGCTACGGAAGCCTAGGAGCTTTGTTTCATTCACTCGGTCAATATGACAAGGCTCGAGAATATCAGGAGAAAGCACTCGCTATCAAAATACAAATTGGTGACAGGAATGGAGAAGCAACCATCTACGGAAACCTAGGAGCTACGTTCCAGTTACTCTTTCAATATGACAAGGCCCGAGAATATCAGGAGAAAGCACTCGCTCTCAACAAAGAAATTGGTGACAGGGATGGAGAAGCAACAAGTTACGGACACTTAGGAACTTTGTTTCATTCACTCGATAAATACGACAAGGCTCGAGAATATCAGGAGAAAGCACTTGCTATCAGAATAGAAATTGGTGACAGGAATGGAGAAGCAACCAGCTATGGAAACCTAGGAGCTTTGTTCCAGTTACTCGGTCAATATGACAAGGCCCGAGAACATCAGGAGAAAGCACTCGCTATCAAAAAAGAAATTGGAGACAGGAATGGAGAAGCAACAAGCTACGGAAACCTAGGAACTTTGTTCCAGTTACTCGGTCAATATGACAAGGCCCGAGGATATCAGGAGAAAGCACTCGCTATCAATAGAGAAATTGGAGACAGGAATGGAGAAGCAACCAGCTATGGAAACCTAGGAGCTTTGTTCCAGTTACTCGGTCAATATGACAAGGCCCGAGAATATCTGGAGAAAGCACTCGCTATCAAAAAAGAAATTGGTAACAGGGATGGAGAAGCAACAAGCTACGGAAACCTAGGAACTTTGTTCCAATTACTCGGTCAATATGACAAGGCCCGAGAATATCAGGAGAAAGCACTCGCTATCAGAATAGAAATTGGTGACAAGAATGGAAAAGCATCAAGCTACGGAAACTTAGGAGTTTTGTTCAAATCACTCTATCAGTATGACAAGGCCAAAGAACATCAGGAGAAAGCACTCGTTATCAATAAAGAAACTGGTGACAGGAATGGAGAAGCAACAAGCTACAGGAACCTAGGAACTTTATTCCAATCACTCGGTCAATATGACAAGGCCCAAGAATATCAGGAGAAAGCACTCACTATCCATAAAGAAATTGGAAACAGGACTGGAGAAGCAACCAGCTGCAGAAACCTAGGATCTTTGTTTCGATCACTCTGTCAATATGACAGGGCCCGAGAATATCTGGAGAAAGCACTCGCTATCAATATAGAAATTGGTGACAGTAATGGAGAGGCAACGAGTTACGGAAACCTAGGAACTTTGTCCCAGTCCCTCTGTCACTATGACAAGGCCCAAGAATATCAGAAGAAAGCACTCGCTATTAGAATAGAAATTGATGACAGGAGAGGAGAAGCAAAAAGCTACAGTAACCTAGGAACTTTGTTCCAATCACTCTGTCAATATCACAAGGCCCGTGAATATCAGGAGAAAGCACTCGCTATCAATAAAGAAATTGGAGACAGGAATGGAGAAGCAACCAGCTACAGTAACCTAGGAACTTTGTTCCAATCACTCTGTCAATATCACAAGGCCCGTGAATATCAGGAGAAAGCACTCGCTATCAATAAAGAAATTGGTGACAGGAATAGAGAAGCAACAAGCTACGGAAACCTAGGAACTTTGTTCCAGTTACTCGGTCAATATGACAAGGCCCGAAGATATCAGGAGAAAGCACTCGCTATCAGTATAGAAATTGGTGACAGGAATGGAGAAGCAACAAGCTACGGAAACCTAGGAACTTTGTTCCAATCACTCTGTCAATATCACAAGGCCCGAGAATATCTGGAGAAAGCACTCGCTATCAAAGAAGAATTGGGTGACAGGAATGGAGAAGCAAACAGCTGCGGAAACCTAGGAACTTTGTTACGTTCACTCTGTCAATACGATAAGGCCCGAGAATATCAGGAGAGAGCACTCGCTATCAGAATAGAAATTGGTGACAGGAATGGAGAAGCAACCAGCTACGGAAACCTAGGAACTTTGTTCCAATCACTCTGTCAATACGACAAGGCCCGAGAATATCAGGAGAAAGCACTCGCCATCATGATAGAAATATGTAACAGGAATGGAGAAGCATTAATCTACGGAAACCTAGGAAATTTGTTCCAATTACTTGGTCAATATGACAAGGCTCGAGAATATCAGGAGAAAGCACTTGCTATCAGTATAGAAATTGGTGACAGGAATGGAGAGGCAACCAGCTGCAGAAACCTAGGAGCTTTGTTCCAATCACTCGGTCAATTTGACAAGGCCCAAGAATATCAGGAGGAAGCAATGGCTGTCAAAATAGAAATTGGTGACAGGAATGGAGAAGCAATAAGCTACGGAAACTTAGGAATTTTATTCCAATTACTCGGTGAATATGACAAGGCCCGAGAATATCAGGAGAAAGCACTCGCTATCACAATAGAAACTGGTGACAGGAAAGGAAAAGGAACATGCTATGAAATCCTCACGGATTTGTTTATCTCTCTTGGCAAGTATGCAAAGGCTGACGACTATCGAAAGAAAGCAATGGCAATTAGAAAGGGTATCGATGATAGATGCGGAGAAGCAGCAAATTACAGACAGCTTGGGCTAATTTCAGAAAAGTGTGGTGAATATGACAAGGCTCAAGAATATTACGAGAAAGCCCTTTCAATTCACATGAAAATCGGTAGGAAAGAAAGAATAGTAGTCAACTACAGCGATTTAGGAATGTGTTTCCTCACGCTTGGTAAATATGACATGGCCGAAGAATACCTTAAGCAGGCTCTCCTATTAAGTAGGGATATTGGACAAAACTTGAACGAGTTTACCTGCCTTTTACAGCTATCGGTGTTAAATTTGTCACAAGGTCATCTTGAAGAGGCTTCTACGTATCTTTTTCAAGGCATCGAAAAGTTCGAAACTTTGAGGGGTTTTCTTAAAGAAAACGACCAGTTTCAAATATCTCTTTTAGAAAGGCACGGCACCTTTCCTTACAAGTCGTTCAGTGAGTTTCTTTCTTCCACTGGAAAGCCTCAAGACGCCCTTTACGTCGAAGAACTGAGTAGGGCAAGAGGCCTGGCCAACTTGATGGCAGCTCGGTACTCTATTCAAGAGCAGATCTCAAGCGATCCACAGTCTTGGAGTGGCATTCAAGGGATCATCACAAAAGAAGCAGACTGCGCATGCCTGTACATTTCGGTTGGTACAAATGATGTACGGTTTTGGATATTTAAAGCAACGGGAGCTCTTCATTTTTCAAAAAAGAAAGTGAGCTTGGACAAAAACAGGATGACCGGAATAGTCCCTGAGTTGGATGAGTTTTTTAAAGAAGCCTTCCACACCCGCTCTATTTTACCCGAACAGAATTGCGAAGATCGATCTTTAGATGACACCGAACTGTTTCAAAACAAGTCTTCACTTGTGTTACAAGATAATTATCGCTCCTGTGGCCCGTTTACTGAAGCAGCCCGAGATCATAATTGTCCCTGATTCCTGTGTGTACCAAGTGCCATTTGCAGCCTTGGCTGACGAAGGAGGCACGTATCTATCAGAGACATGCAGAATTCGGATAGTTCCCTCTCTGACGACTCTCAAGCTTATTGAAGACAGTCCTCCAGACTATCACAGTCAGACAGGGGCTCTCATAGTGGGTGACCCTGTGGTTGGAAAGGTGATTTACAAGGGAAAGTGCAGAAATATGAAACCATTGCCGTGTGCAAGAAAGGAAGCAGAGATGATTGGAAGACTTCTTGGCGTAACGCCTCTGATAGGACATTCCGCGACAAAGCATTCTGTACTCCAAGCGATAAATTCAGTGAGCCTGATACACATTGCTGCCCATGGATATCCCGAAAGAGGGGAGATTGCTCTTTCTCCCAAGCACCATTCCCCACTCCCACCTTTCCCTCAAGAAGAAGATTATCTTTTGACGATGGCCGATATTTCAAAAACTCGGTTGCGAGCTAAACTAGTGGTGCTTAGTTGTTGTCACAGTGCTCGTGGACAGATTAGAACCGAGGGAGTTATTGGAATTGCCCGAGCGTTCTTAGGATCCGGAGCTCGTTCAGTATTAGCGGCACGATGTGCCCTGGATGACACAGCCACAGAGCAGTTCATGACTTGTTTCTACGAACATTTGTTCCGCGGTGAAAGCGCCAGTGAGTCTCTTCATAAGGCTAGGAAGTGGATGAGAAATAACGGCTTTGAGAAAGTTTCTCAATGGGCGCCATTTATGTTAATAGGCGACAACGTGACATTTGATTTTGGAAACTGGCTGGTGCCTAGCACACCTTAAGAGCCATAACTTTGATGAAACCTCTGTAGCAGAATGAATTAGACTTAGTAAAGCTCGGAACTATTTAATTACTAGCCTGTAGAAAAAGGACGCCTTCTCAGTGCGAAGGACAACGCGGATCGATACACAGTGGAAGGCATTTCTGTAAAATGCTCATCACACATCTAACTTTAATAATCTGAAACAAACCAGCGTATGGTGTTATCTCTTTATAAGAGTTCCGAAGTTAAAAAACTCCATTTTTGATAAGTCAATGGTTCAGTGAACGAGCCAAGAAAAGTGTAACAATTTTTAGATTTCGAACGTGATTAGTTCATCAAGGAAAGAAAACTTTTAATTCTTTTTCAAAGGCGATTAGTTAGTCAATTCAAGAGACTTTTAAACAAATGTGACTTGAAAAAAAGGTTTTTTCTAAGCGTAATTTTTTTGGAAATTTGTTGCAAAGCTTTTGACAAGAAATATTGTGATTCAACATGCCAAAATAAATAAATTTAAAGAAAAGAAAAAAGAGATACACTTTTACAGTAATGCAAACCCTTGTATTCTCAGGGATACCCCTGTAATGTTATCAATTTAATCGATACCCCTATGCGTAGATACCGCTGTATCCTAGCACAGACTCTTGTATGCTCATAGATACTTTTGTATATTTATTATCCTTCACTTTTGCACTGCCACTTCTATTTCGCTCCGTTTTATCAACTGAACACATGGAAAAGGTTACTTTATTATCAAAGAAAATTTTATGCATGGGAATTCTTTTTGTTGACCAAAAAACTCAATAGATTCTTCGTCTGTTACTTTTGTGCTATATCTCCGGGTTACAGTACAATAAATATACAATGAAAACCGAAAGAATACGACAAAATTTACATGCGAGAAAAATAATTCATAAGACCGTTGAAATGTCTTTTAAATACACAAATACACATATGCAGTTTAGCAAGATAACTTTTCTAATACTTCAAAACACCGAATCAAAATACATTATCTAGCAAACTACAATGAAGACTACTCAAAATTAAGGGGAAAATGTGACCCTCAAGTAAAACCACTGAATAATTCTTAAGAGAAATAAAATGTAAAGTGATTGGCAGCCAGAAGAAAAAATATTCATCAGATGTAGGGAATCGCTGAAATGGTTGAAACTGACATATTAAATGTGGCTTATTGAACACCTTAGCTTTGAACTAATGAGTGCGTATTTTTTAAACGAGTTGTCATCAGAATTTGTCCCACTTTGAGCTCAAAACAGCGTTAGAATGCAATGTGAACTGTGTGACATGAAAACTTGACTCGTTGTCGTAGTTGAAGACCCCTCTCATGAACAGCTCCACATTCTCTGCCTCCGGTGGGCAAGAGATGTCAAACTGCTGCACGATTCTGACCATTAGCAGATGAAGCTCTAACTCGGCAATACGTCCACCGAGGAACATACGTGTTCCGAATCCAAATGGAAGAGAAGCGAAAGCTTCTGCCAATTCGATCAAAGTGGTATCTCCGGTTTGAACGCTTCGGCATCTTAAAAAATACTCTCATCTCGCCCCATTTGGTGAACAAGGAACTAAACTTGAACAGTGCCCCCAGGGATATAGAAGCCCCCCTACTATTATGTCTTCTTTCGGTCTTTGCGGGATAGCGGATAGAACAGGATATAGGCGGAGGGTCTCTTGTAACCAGGCCTTCAGGTATGGCATACGAGCGAGCGTTTCTGGCGTTGCAAAGGTAGAATTTCCAACCACAGAGAGCACTGTATGTATTGACATCTCCCATATATATAAATTAATTTTGTGGTGTATTGTTCAAGATCATCGGACATTACTGAAAGTTCGTTTAATTTCTCCTCCATGGAAACATGTTGTGCCTTGCAAGTTTCTACCGGATCTCCGACTCTCTGCTGTAGAGAGGCATAGTTTTTCTCCATCGCTTTTATCCTGTTCTTTAGGTCTTCGTTTTCCTTCACTATAGAGTCGACTGTGGTTTGTGTGAACTCGAGACTAGCTCGTAGCTCTTCATAATTTCTTTTCAGGACTGTCTACTGTTCGAGCATTAGGCTGTTATTTGTTTCAATTCTCTTAAGCGCTTCACAAATCGTCGCCAATGTTAAATCCTGTGCTCGTTTTTCGTTAGGTTGACTGCCACGTGGAGTGGCCTAAAATGCCGCTGAGTTTTCTTCGTTAAGTCGCTTTGCGTTTGGTGAATTTGTAGATTCTTCGCCACTGGCACTACTAAGATCACTCCTCTTACGTATTGTTTTCTCTCAGGGAGCCACAGAGCTCAAAAAAGTGCGTCCGCCATGTGCAACCATGCACTTGTCCCAGTCCTGTTTCCTTTGATGGCTTGCACGACTTCTCCTCCAGTTCCTTGATTCTTCTCCCGATAAATAGCTTGGCGTAATCGTACATCGTGTCAAAATTATCGAAAAACTTTTTAAATTTCTGGGTCTCGTAGATCTTGTAAAACCAAGTAAGCAAAAAAACCGACCTCGACCGCATGCGCCAGAAAATCTCCGAGGGCTTTTATGAATGTCTGTGCCTCTTCGTTGATTTCCTCCACAAGACAACTAAACCTTGTCAAACAATATCTCCGCCACAGACTCAAACGACCATTTGAAAAGTTCATTATCGAGTTCACTAACTTCGTTTTCTTTGTCTGACCCACCAGGCTCTCGAACTAATCGTAATCGGTCAATAAAATCGCTGATAATTTTACTGAAACCCTGAGTGTAGCTGGCGACTTCTTTCGGTCGAAGCATTCAGGACGCTTCGTAGCTTACATCATTCTTCACCATTGACAAAGAAAACGCCAGGAATTTCATTCCTTATTTCCCGGTAGAAATTTAGAGATGGAAAGTCCATTCTCTCAGGATATTTGGGATCCGATCGAAGTAACTTTGCAACGTCGGCAGGATCGGATAAACTAATAATTTCTACGCCTGGTAGTTTGTTGCGGAATACTTTCCCATATTTCTTGACATTTTCTGCTTGGATTTTGCTTTCCAAGGGGCTGACCTTTCGTTTCCACGAAAAAAATCCAAGCTGTTCCGAAAACTAGAAGACGGAGCGGACCTAGGATTTCTGAAAAATGTTTTGTTTTTGGTGCATCCTCGACTGAAATAGACGAAAGAGAACACATTGGTATCGATGGCAGAAAACCACGGAGACCATGGTGTATGAACTAAATAGTCCGAACAGATGAGATCGAGAGAGAGTGATTACTTTTCATTCTAACAGTAAAGGCCATCTTAAAGAACTTCAGCTATCACTACGCAGCAGATCGAATGAATAACTCGCTCTGCTATGGAACCTGGCTTTGACGTAGCGAAGGTCTAATGAGAATGGTCACGCACTTCACAGCAGGGTTACATAAGTAGCTAGCTCAACAATTAATATTACATTAATAATACACT